CCATCTCCATTAGATTGCTCACCAACCTTAACCCCACTAGAGCAACTAGAGGCAGAATTCACCAGAGTCAAACAATGGAGAAAGTGGAAACTAACAAAAATCAGGGATCAAGCAGAGACCTTACCATACTTCATTGATGAAGAAGACTTTGCATTGCAGTGGTTGGGCACAGAGGATCTTGCAAAAGCAACCAACCTTCACCAAATCAACCTAGTCTACGCCATGAAGAAAAATGAGCTCACTGCCAAGGAACCAATCGCAAACAACAATGATAGTGGTAATCTAGACGATGATGATGATGCTGACAATGCACTCCGGGGACCTCCTAACCCAAGAGGTAAACAAATCATTTCCTCTTCCTCTTCCAGTGATGAAGAATTAAGGAGAGTCCTGGAGAAATCCAAGTATGAAACAAAAGGAGGTGGAGAATCATCCAAAGCAACAACCAAGCAGCCAACTGCCATCCTAATCACGCATCCACCCTTGGCTCAGAATACTGCTCAGGCAACTGCACAAAACACCGCTAAGGCTACTGATCAATCCACTGCAAGTATCGAAGAAGAGGCTGATAAAGAAGATACTATATCCCTAGCCAATCTCTTCGTTCAGGAAAGGGGAGCTTCTATCAAATTCATTAGCAAAGCAGAGGTCAGATTACATAAAAGACTCATCAAAATGCAGAAGCAGATGAAAGAAAGACTTGATATCCGGTTTGAGGAAGTCCACAGGCATATCAGAAATGACCTCATGATCCAGCAGGTCTTCAATGCAGAGCAGAGAGCTCTCCTCAAAGTCAAGATCTCACAACACGAAGCTGTGACTACAGAAATCAAAAAGGAGCTTGAGGCACTCAAAGCAAGAGATGATGAACTGGCCAGTCAACTTCTCACACACCAAAAACATCAATATCCTCTTACAACAGCAGCAGCCTCATCACAAGCCGCAGGCTCCTCTGCTCAGGTAACTCCTCCATCAACTCTTCCTCCCACTCTTGAACAGGCACTTCAAAAGATAACTGAGCATGAAGAATACATCATTTATCTCAAGAACAAGGAGTTCCCTGCCATGCTTCAACTCTCTCAGAAGTTCCTCAGTGAGCAGCAGGCTCATGTTCAAGCATATGACCAATTAACCAAAGCAATAAAAAACAACTTCCTGGTTATTCAAAAGAACACTCAAGAAACCTTCTGGAAGCAGGGATGTGACATCCAGAGACTGGCAAAGGAAGTAGATGAAGCCAAGAAAATCTTAAAGAAGGTAGAAGAAGAAGTGCATGTAGACATCAAAACTGATCTCCAAGATGTCAACAACGCACTCAATGCAATGTCCATCACAGTATATGGACTTAAGAACAAACAAGAAGAATCAGATGAAGAAATAGAAGCCCTCTTCCAAGATATTGATGATGCCAAAAAGGGGGAAGCTACCTCAGCAGGACCCTCCTCTAAAAGACAGATAGCAGCAAAGAAGGCCGCTGAAACAAGAAGAAAGAACAAACTGCTACAAGAAGAGGCTGAGATCAGAAAAAGAAAAGCAGAAGAGGCTAAGGCAAGGGAAGAAGCCAAGAAGAAAGAAGAAGACAAGCAACCCAAATAGATTCAATCATAAGTCCGAGAATGACTATAAACTACTGTAATAGCAAAACACTTGTAACTATTCTAATTTTAATAAAGAAAAATTCTTCCCTGCTTAGTATAGTTTTGGCATCATCAAAAAGGGGGAAATTGTTAGTACCCAATTTTGATAAGATTTTGATGATGCCACTATACTAAAAGTCATTATGCCCTGTGTTCTTACTAAATTAAAATTTGATCAGGTTCTCAAACTGTGACTAATTAAAATGTACAATTTTTGTACTAAATAAATTTTTACTGGAAAATTAAAATGCAATAAGGTAAATTTTTACCTTAAAAGGATATTCAGATCCCACCAGTATAAATTTATTTAGTACATAAAATTATCAAGTCACATAATCAGCTGATCAAGATATAACAAAATAAATTCTGTACCAAATAAATTTTACTGGAAACTAAAAAATACAATAAGGTAAAATTTGTTTACCTTAGAAGGAGACTTTGATCCTACCAGTACAAATTCATTTGGTACATAATATAATAGAACACAGCACAAACACACACACATACACTGCATGTGTATGATTGAAGACAAAGACAAGAAGAGCATTAAATGCTCAACAGTACGAAAACCAAAGAAGATGGGTCGCACACACCAAATCGTGAAGATTGATCCTTGACTTGATCTTCTAGCTACTAATCAGTGAAGACAAAGGAAATTTCCATTATCAGCTCCATCACAAGAGAACAAAAGTACACCTCATTCTGCGAATAGGATTGAATCCTCTCGACCAACGGAGGAGATCAACCTACTGGAGAAGCCTATAAAAGAAGGCATAGGCATGAGTTCTAAAACCAAGTTTTTGAGTCTTCTAAGTAGAGTAATCACTCTAAGTATTCACGAGCTATCAAGCAAAAGAGAAAGTGCCAATTCAACTTTGCTCTCTGCTTAGACTCATGCTTCACAAAGCTCTAAGATTAGATTAACAATTGTCATATTTGAAGAGCTTAGTTTATAGTTGGAGGTTAGAACTTTCTTGCAATCACAAGTTGTTGTAAACACTTAGGAGAACAGTTGTTCAGATCCTAAAGTGCAGTTAGATAGAATAGAGTACCTTTTGAACCCCACTGGTTCAATAGAGAAAAGTCTAAGGACTGAGTAACCTTGAGTGGTGCTATACTCATTGTGAAAAACCTTCAATCTAGGCCTAAGTGTTGTAAAGGCTGGATTGACACTAAGTGTATTGGGCTTAATACTTTAGTGAAATCCATCTGAAAGAGGGTGGGACTGGATGTAGGAGGATTACACCACCTCTGAACCAGGATACATCGTGTGTTGATTTTATGTTAGTCAACAAAGCACACAACCAACACTTCTCACAAAAAGATTGGAGTTTGCCAGCAGCATCCTAAGCAGTTGCCTTAACAGACCCAACTGCTTATCCTACTGCTTAATTACTTACTTTCTTTGAGATCTTTTTCACACTAGAAAAATGCATAAATATCACTAAAAGGCTTATCAGGTCATTATCCTGAAATTCATTCTCAAGTATAGCAGGTGCCTCAGCAGTCCCCTGGTGTCCAACCAACTGCTGAGCTCTCTGCTCACAAACACTTGTTTTTCTTAAACATCTCAATATCACCAGACCTTCATAACATTACCAACGAGGAAGTTGACCAAACTGCTCTGTGAAGTTCATCCTCTAAACCAAGCAGGCACCTCAGCAGTGCCCTCATCACCAATCAACTGCTGAGACCACTGCTCCAGTAAAACTTCTGATTACTTATACTAAAGCACATCTTCAAAAAGCCCTCACTTTTCTTAGCAACATTTCATCATCACCTTCTTCAAACACCCAATATCTTCTCAGCAGTTGCCTCAGCAGTCTCCTGCATTTCAGCTAACTGCCAACTCAGCAGTTGCCTCAGCAGTCGCCTACCCATCATCCAACTGCCAAGTCTACTGCCCTTCCATAATTAGTCTAAACATCACCCAGACTAGAAAGTTGTCTTAAACTGAGTTTCTAGAGGTTAAAGACTTCCGCTGTGCATCTATTAATCTCCCAAAAGATTATAGATCAACTCATCTAGAAGGGAAAAGTTCTTAAAGACGAAAAAGCTATAAAAGTCTATTCACCCCCCCCCCCCTCTAGACTTTTACCTCTATCCGGGACCATCAATATATATATTTTAATTAATTATATATTATACAAATTGCTATTAAAAACAATTTGTATAATAGCCCGGCCCGGCGGGCATTATTGGGCGGCCTCAGAGAAAGTAAGCGCGGAGAACGGCAAATAAATGAAGGGTGTGACGCACGCAGCCCTAATTTTATTGATTCGCTATATTATGCACGGGCTGAATTTACTGCACAAATCCATTTGTCTATTATTCATATATTTTTTCTTATATTTTGTTAATGAAATATTTTATTTGAAATAAGAACTACATTTGAGAATTGAGAAAAAAATAACAATACGAAATACATTTTGTAATGAATATCAATTGGGATTTCCGCCACCGTTGGTTGTTGTTTTCCCTTTGTCACAGGACTTCATATGTTTTATTGGCATCCCGTATCCGTATGAACGCCCCAAGCAACACTCTTTCTTGCACCACCTGCAAGTTGCCCACCACAGTCCGGTCTTCGGGTCCTTCCACTTGTCAAAATTGTTTTGCATAAGGGAAGATGTACTTTCCATATTTAAAATGGTATATGTATAAGTAGGAATGTAGGATAATAAGAGAAGATGAAGATGGAGAAGAGTTTGAGAAGAATTGGAGAAGAGGTGTAGAAAAATGTTAGAAAATAGATGTATTTATAGATGTTTTTGAACCCCACTCCCCACACCACCACCCCCGGGACCCCCTGCCCCCCACCCATAGCCCCAACGGCTATATAGCCGTTTGGGAGGTTTGATTTAAATATATTTTTTAGTTATACACATATTGTAAAATAAATTAATTAATTTAATGAATTAAGTAAAACTAAAACTATTTGTACTTAGAAAAGTGGTTTGATTTATAATTTACAAATGTTACAAAATAGGTGTATAAGTATTTAAACAAATTACATATTGTAAATGTATTTTTAATTTAAAAACCGGCTTTATATTTTAGAAAAATAATTTTAAGTCGTTAGATTGTAACCAATTAATTAATTTGAGAAGTGCTACATATGAAAAAGTGAACACATATTTATTTGAAATATGAAGTACAAGTTTACAAATTAATTTGAAGTACAACTACAAATTTACAATTTTGAAATATGAAGTACAAGTTTACAATTTTGAAATATGAAGTACAAGTATAAATAAATTTGACAAGTGCTATAAAATACATTTTATAATAAATTCTAAAATACTAATCAATCGGAATCTCCAGCATAGGTAGAGCCACCATCGGTTGTTGAGTCATTCATAAAATCTTGGGAGGGGGTGATGCTCAATTCTTGAGTTCTACGTGCGGCCTTCAACCAATCGTGGTAGCATATAAGCGTCTCAAGAGACTCCGCGCTCAATCTCGATCTAGATGCCGTTAGGACGTTGCCGGCCGAACTAAATTCTTGTTCCACAGCAACTGTTGAAACCGACATTGATAGTACTTGCTTAGCCATCCGTGCTAAAATCGGGAACGTTCTTTCTTTTGACTTCCACTAGTCTAGAACGTCAAAGTCATCATTTTCTTCAAAATCAACTTCATATGTTAAATACAAAGTAATCTCATTCAATGCGCTTTGTTCAGTGACGTGAGTTGTTTTAGTTTTTTTCATAAGATTGCCAAATGCAGATTTAAAAATCGATTTTCCTTTAGATGAAGATGTTCGTGATGGGGGAGGGGGAGCGTTGCTATATTGTGCACGAAACTCATTAAATAAGGCATAAAATAAAGTACTAACCTCGTTGTATTCCGTTTTCGGATCTATGGGGTTATCGTCATACATTGGAAATTCACCGAAAAACGCAAGATAATGGAAGTTGAAACAATCTTCCAAATTAGCAAGTCTATAACGAGGATCGAGAATAAATGCAATACCATAAATATGGGGAATATGCGCATAATATTTTAAAAACTTTTCCTTAATATGATCACAAAAATAATGAACGAAAACGGCATTCTGAAATTCTTTAAAAGCATCGGCGAGATTAACAGCTTGTGGAATAAATTGGTTTGCGGTAGGTTTATAAACATGACTAAAAGTTTCAGTAGCAAAATATATCAAAACATTACAAATTTTTTCGCAAGTGTCGATCTCAGCCATGTTTATAATATAGTTATCATGTTCTTTTAAAAAAGCAGGAAAATGTTCTTTATATCTAAGAACAACTTTAAGTAATTTATAAGTACTATTCCAACGAATACTCAAATCTTTAGAAAAAGCAACATATCTCACACCTCTTTCAGTCAAATAACTTTGCCATTTTAATCTAAGTTGACCATTACCCCAAATACGTCTAATCCCCCCCTTTATTACCTCCATGGAATCTCCTAACGCTTTTAAACCGTCTTGCACACATAAATTTATAACATGACATGCACAGCGTTGATGAAAAAATCTATCCATCAAAGAATTGGCACCACACAACTCACGCAATCTAGGTATAGCAGCAGTATTATTAGTAGAATTATCGAAACCAATAGCAAACACCTTATCAATCAAATTATACTCAATTAAAATACGCTCAATCAAAATATAAATATGTTCAGCGGTGTGATGATCATTAAATTCACGAAAAAGCAGGAACACGTTTATGCATATTCCAATCCTCATCAATATAATGTGCAGTCAAACCCAAATAATATAAATGATGAAAATCATCCTCCTATATGTCAGAACAAATAGTAACACGCCCATCAAAGTTTGCAAAAAAATTTTGTAATCTTACCTTTTCCGCATTATAAAGCCTTATTATTTCTTTCTTAACAGTTTTGCGACTATAATTTCTAAATTGAGGATTTAAACTACCTTGTGCATAATCTCTTAAAACAAGACTTTCAGAAAACAAATAAGGCAAATTTTCTTTACAAATTAAGTTAGCCATACCAGTCAAATTTTTTGCATCATTGTAGGAGAAATTACAAAAAGGTTGAGAATTCGCAAACCTCGATATTTGAGTTTGCTTCCCCGTTCCGCCGCCTAATTTTGCATACTCCACGGGGTGCTTTGCCTTAAGATGCCTTGCGGCGGATCCGTATCCGCCGGAGGTTCGCAAACTATAATTGTTGTTGCACTACTTGCAAGTTGCGTGCCAATAGCCGGTTTGTGGGTCCTTCCATTTATCAAAATTATTTTTCATTAGTTCAGACTTACTTTTTTTATTACCGGTGGCGGTTTGGGATGAGGCAGGCTCGTCGGCGTCGTGGCTTCCGGCACCCTCCTCCTCGGCCGTCTCCGGTTCCAATTCCTCCGCATCTTCATCCTCAAGCTCCTCTTCGTCAATGGTCGTCGGCATTTGTTGTTGTTGTAGAAAGCGGTTATTATGTCGGGCCAATTCTTGTTGGAGTTGTTCTTCGGACATCGCATCTCCATCTCGCCTTTGGTAACCCGTTTCAAAATCATCTTGGTTTTGAGATGAAGAACCGGCAAGTTCTTTACCTTTGCGGGATTTCTTCCTCCCAATCTCGTTCATTCGATTGCGTTGGAGGTTACCCAAATCAACCGAATATCTACCACCTTCCATCTTAAAAATGTAACAAATATTAATTGACAACCAATATAATAATGGATACAAAACTGATGCAACTAATTAAAACTATGTTAATTAATACTTCAAACTAATTTAGTGCAAAGTAGAATTAATGTGTGACTTTAAAATTAAAATTATACCAACTTTTGAAGTACTTTAATTTAGTAAAAACTACTTAAATAAAATGTTAAGTACTTTAATTAAATGATTGAACTACTATTTCTTCCTACAAATATAAATTGAAAATAAGAAAATGTGACTTTAACTATAATGAATTAATGACAATTAACTAGTTTATTGAAGTAGAGTTGTTTTAACAATTAATGAGAATACTAATGAAGTAAATAACTAGTATAATGAAAAATGTAACAATGCTAATTAACTAATTAACTAGTATAATGACAAATGTAACAACAATGCTAATAAACTAATTAACTAGTATAATGAAAAATGTAACAATAATGGTAATGAACTAGTTAACTATTATAATGATGTATGCAACAAGAATGCTAATTAACTAATTAACTAGTACAATACTAGTTATAGTAAGTAATATATAATATAATGTTTATAGTATATAATATATAAGTATACTACTATAAGATGAGTAATACACTTATATTTTATACTTTAATATATAAAGTATATATTAAGTAGATGTAGAATGTATGTATTAAGTGGATATAATAATTGTATAAGAATTAAATATTAGAGTATAATGGAGAATTGGAGATTGGAAAATAAGAAAATAAGTATATATAAAATAGATATTATAAAGTATATATAAAAGTAGATATTATAAAATAAGTATATATAAAATAGATATTATTAAGTAGAGAAGTAGATATTACTATGTATTAAGTATATAGTAATAGTTTATAAAGTATATTTAATACTTTATTATATAAAGTATATATTAAGTAGATGTAGTATGTATGTATGTATTAAGAAATATAAGTAGAGATTAAGTAGATAAGAAATATAAGTAATATAGTATATGTATTTATAAGTAGATAATTAATATATAAATAGATATAATAATTGTATAAATATTAAATAGTAAAATAAAATATAAAGGAGAATAAGAGAATTTGAGAAGATGAATATGGAGAATCGGAGATGAGTAGAGAATAGGATTTAGGAAGAGTTGGAGAAGAGGTGTGAAAAAATGTTTAAAATTAGGAGTATTTATAGGTTTTTTTTAACCCCCACCCCCAAACGCCCCGGACCCCCCCTGGTACCCCCCCACCCCAACGGCTATATACCCGTTTGGGAAGTGGCTGTTGAGCCAAAATGTTTTTTTTCAAATTAAAAGGATTTTTTTTTTTTGAAAAAACTGACCGTTAGGCCCGGGCCTCCAAAAACAGGACCCGAGCCCGGACCCGCTACCCCAACCGGTTCGGTGCCCGAACCGGACCCGGACCCGAGAACCGGGCCGGTTCCGGGCCCGTACAGTGACGGGCCGAGCCGGGCGGCCCGAACCGGGTCCAAGCCTACGACCGTGGAAAGACGGAGAGAGAAATGTCATAAATCAATCTTTTGTGTCTATCTCTTTCATGCCACATGTGCACCATACACATTGTAGCATTGGAGATGCTCTTAGTCACTCACCTTCCTTCTCCTTAGATCCCCTACTTCCACTAATAGTGGGTAAATTACCTAAATTATTTCTCACATGAAACTGGGAATTCCTAATACTTAAATATAGATTAGTACATGCCAAAAAGTGCTACACTACTCGGACCTTCCTATTCAAGAGGCACCGAAAATTTAAAAAATATACGGAATTTATAGAATATACTAGTACAAAATTTAGTGTTCATTTACTTGTCTAAAGATTCCTATGTTAGTGTTTTCGAAAATACATAAGTCAGAAGACTCAAAACTAATCTAAATTATTTGTCATCAAAATATAATTCCTAATCAAAATTGTGCATTTTTTTTATTGCTTAAGGTTTAGTTATTGAATCCAAATCTTAGGACGGGCTTGCTCGAATTCGACTTGAATTCACTAGAATCCTAGTGTATCCTCATTATTCCATCCAAGCGAAGTCCTTGCCCCGAACATATTACTCCCACTGTCTCACTAGAGTATAACATTTCCAACTCAAGCTTATCGTTTGTGGACTAAGTAGCACGGAAACGGGAAACGCGAGAAACGTAATTTCTAAAAAATATAGGACACGAAACGTGGTGGAAACGCGTAAATATTATAAAATATAAGGATATATTTATAAATATTTTTTAATATATGTACACAAATTTTTTCATATGCACATGTTTTTTAATATAATTTGTTTAGTAACCAAATAATAAAATCACTCTACATGTTCGAATTTATATATTATTTCATATTAGTACATAATTAAACATAAAATGTACGGAGTAATACATTTCTAGCAATACATTGCGTTACGAAATGTAACAAGTGTTGTCGCTGAGAAATACCACAAAATTCACCATAAAAAAATTATTTTCCACCACAGAATCTTTTGAAAAAGAAAAAATATTGGAATCCGAGGTTTCCAAAACGTAGTGAAACGGGTTTCCAAATTTTTCTTAATTACGGAAACCACCCCGAAACGGGAAATTGAAGTTTCCCAGTTTCCGAAACGTTTCCGAGTTTCCGAGTATACATATTAGTATAATGTTTCGAAGTCCAAAAATAGAACAGATGTTTCGAACCTTTGAACAGATTTCAAGCCCAAATTTAAATCACTTTAAAATCAATACATCTATATATTATACATTTGCAAGTAACATTGAATTAACTCTTTGACAAGTGCATTTGCTACAATGTCTACATCTTTATTCAGTCATCCACTCTCTTTAGATATATATAAAAATGTTCAGAATCCTTCAAATAAGAAAGAGATAAGATGCGATGAGAAGCTGAAGACTATATTCAGTGGGAAGGAGACAGTCGGGTTTCTTGAGATTGCCAAGCAGCTAGCACAACATTTTCCGAAGGCTGCAGCGTAGTAGATTTTCCATTGAAAGGCTTAGAGCGCCTATTTGTCTGTTAGATTTGCACACTATGTTGTGTACCGGCAGTGCATGCCTTTTATTTTGGTTGTGGTTGGTTAACTGTGTACGGTGCTGATCATGAACATGGATGCATATACCATTTTTTAGTTTACGTATCCTATCTTAATGATGAAATTGTATTTTTTTTATTAAAAAAAAATATATATATATAAATGTATTTTATCTCGTGCACGGCACGGGTAAGAAAAACTAGTATTATATTATACATTTGCAAGTAACATTGAATTAACTCTTTGACAAGTGTCATGCTCACGATCACTTGACACATGTCATTTTCACATTAATTTGATTTGTCATATTTTAAAAACACTTGTGAAATACATAATTTGGTAATACACTCTCAAATTAAAGAGTCTTTGATGACCGTGTATCTCTAATTAAGGTAAGTATACCTTGCTTAATCACTTGCTGTTTATATTTTGATAACACCATTATAATTTTGTAATACATCCTCTTTCTAATTTAAGTAAAGCTCTACAACGTGTGGCTTATGTACCATCTCTATTGCTATTTAATTTATGAAATAATTGACAATAAGGATGTTTTCTTTTGGACTCAAATTTGCTGGTCTGATCTGTTTAAGTCTGGTATAGTCTGAACTGTTCTGGTTTGGTCTGGTAAACGTCTGGTCTCTGTGTATTTTATAAATTTATAACTATGAAAGTCTGGTCTGGTCTGTTTAAGTCTGGTCTGGTCTGGTCTGGGACTGAAAATAGTCCAAAAGAAAACATTCTAATAATCTCAATCGGCATTCAAATGATTTTAATACCATATAATGACCTCTTCAATATATGGTTTCATACTCAACCTGTGTTTCAGTATACGAATTCGTATACCTATGTTTCAATATAAAACTCACTATCGATGAATAGACTATACCAACAAAACAATTGCCGTCATTATACAATTTTCACCACCTTGAGAAATGACGTCTTCAATCAAGCGTGATTCAATTTTGAGTGTTTCAACTCTGAAAGACTTGGAATATTAAGGAAGTGTTAGTTCGATCGCTTGTGATTCGTTCCAAAGAGAATTCATCCAGACCCCACAATCACGCTCATTGAATATGGTTCTAATGGATGAAAAGGTATGTTACATTCATCACTAATACTTCACTAATATTGGATAATGAGGAAAAGTGAAAGACAACAAAAAATGTTGTCTAGCGAGGAAGTTTTTGGAATAATTTAAAAAATGAAGTTTTAGCGGGTCAGCATTAGGTCACCCGCCATGTCACCAATCAAATTTCCATTTTTCTACATGTTTTTATAAACGAAGTGTGGCTTACAATCGAGAAAATTGAAATATAACTCCTCCCTTCTCACGTTGAATCCACCCGATGCTATCTCACAAAAAACACATTGATGAATTTTTCTTATCACAAAGTTCAAAAATAGCAAATTTCACCAATTCATATCTGTAATGTAAGTCAATTTTCAATTCAACAATTCAAAATGAATCATAAGTAGCGAACTTCAAACAAATTATCAACTTCAATATGATAGAGCCGTTTAAGAGGAACATCTTAAAATGCCTTATCTGTGGGATGAAACTTCCATATGTTTACACCTTCTTATCTAAATAAAAGCTATAATTTTATTTTAATTAATTTTATTTACAAAAAGGTATAATTTTACCTTCGTCCCGGTAGGTTTTGTCAATTTTGAATTAATTAGGTGATGAGAAATAATAAAAATAGAAATTGTGTAGTTGAAGTTTGTGTATAGCAGAGAGAAATGAGCACACTCACAAATTAAACTATTTACTTTAATTTAATTCAAAAGCGATAAATTTTTGTTACAATACACCAAGGAATGTTGGCAAAATCAATGGAATGTGTACCGACCTTTCCCAATACTATGTATTTCTTATTCACTTGAGGCAATAATTACTTGCTAGAAATCCTAGAATGATAAGTAATTCATTCTTTAAAATTCTTCATGT